GGGTTTCAGCACGGTGACGGCGAGTGGCAGCTGAACCACCCCCGCCGCCTCCCAACAACGGATCAAACAATCCCAACGCATGGCTGCAGGGAGGCATGCCGAGGGAGTGTAGAAGGGGCGTGGGCTTGCGCATTGAACAGCACGTAACCAGGCACAACTGGATGACGACAGTACCGTCGTCTACAGGAAGCTCTGATGCAGTGCCGCTAGCGCAAGCGACACAGGACACGCATCAGGAAACGTCGTCAGGATGCAGATGCCGCCAACGTGGCAGGCCAGGAGAAACACGCGAGCGCAAAACTGCCGGCAGGGTTTAGGGGCAAGCTTAACGAATTACAGGAGGGCCTGTAGCAAGTGGTAAAGAAAAACCCCCAAGCCCCTAAAAGGGAAAACCCTACAGGGGGGAAAACAAAGGAGGAACTACTTGGACAGCAGATGGCGCGAAGGCCAGCTGACAGCCCAGCAAAGGGCCCTGGCTAGACAAAAACAAGAAAACCCAAAACAGGGCCGTTTAAAGGAAGCCTTCACAGTCTCAGTCAGGCGCTGTGCATCCGGTGATGGCCAGAGCAAGCTTGCAAGAGGCAGTCAACCGATCCACCCGCTCAGCAAAAGTCCGAGCAGCAGAGACGGTGACCCAAGCAGATTTTGTCGTCATCCGGTCACCGTCGCGGCAGCGCCTAGTAGGCGTGCGGGTAACCCCGAATCTAAGGATAGCCAGCAGGGTGGCCTCTTCAACCGATAGGGAAGACAAAACCGTTTGAACTGTGGATGGCTAACGGCTTCCAGGTCAATGCGCTCGATACCCTCGGAATCCTTGCGAGTGCAAGGCACGAGAGCCAGAGCGAGTCTACGCGCACGCATGCGCAGGAGGTGCAAGGACTGCCATCAGGCAACGGGGGAGGGGCAATGGCGCAGACCCTGGCTCGGCCCACAAGCCTGGCAGGAGAAATTCTGGCAAAACGCGGCATCACTCTGGAAGGAAAAACACAGGGCCTGTGACTAAACCGCCTAGGGGCAATCGTGGGAAACCTAGACCCAGAAGGGAAGAGGAAAGAGGCGGAAGTGCAATGCTATGCAAAGCAGGCATACTTGTTGTATTTGGTCTTAAGGCTCACTCGCTTGGATTGGCAGTTTTGCACTACCCCCCGTATGTTGGGGTTCTACGACAAGCAAACCCACATTTTCATTTTTGGCAGCTTTGCAGGCCAGTCCTGGGAACAGTAGAGGATTCGTCCTCAGGCACCTCAGATGAGTGCTGGCAATAGGACTCGCTCCAACCTCTGCAAGCATGCTTCCTTTTTTTTAAGGCGCTTGCGTTCCAGAGGTCCTGGAAGGACACCAGGTAGCCTGCGTTTCGTTGACTGCGCGCAATGAACTCGGCCACAACTTCCTGAGACTGCTGAAAACAGGATCAAACAGGGCTTGCAGCTTCATCCGCTGGCACCATACCACATGCTTGCATCATCTAATGCAATAATACCTTCCTCTCCCCAGAATTTGGCGCTGACATGAAATGTGCCGCTATCAGTTTCCCCTCTAAGTTTCAGCCAGATGGCCCTGTACCAGCTGTCCACGGCCTCAGCATCCGCCGGTTTACCGTCGGCCTGGTTGGCCGGCGGCTGGTGGGCCACCAAGAAGGACGCGAAGCCAGAAGCTGCGATTGAGCCTTATCTGTAGCTCGAATGCCCGAAAATGCATCCCGCAGCTCAGCCGCGCCTCCTGACACCGAGGACAAGTGTGTCACGTGACGGAGCCGTCCTGCCTGCCAAGCTGCCACAGTAGCAAAAACGATCTAAGGCGTCCATATCTGCCGGCCCCCACCACAGCCTCCGCAAGTGCCCAGAGCGCACCGCTGCAGAAGGCTCCTCTGAGGGAAGCGCTTGCCACTTGAAGGGAGTGTACAGCTTCTGCTAACTTACCGTTCCCCAAACCTATTCGGAAACCTGGAAACCCATGTAGATCCATTTAGCAGGATAGCAGTAGAACTTCACGTGACAAAGCTAGCAAGTTTGCACGTCTGTGGGCTACAAGCCCACCTGCGGTCCAACTACGCAGCATGTCAGGGCTTGGCCAAGCCAGTAAGAGAAGGCACTTGCAAGAGAAGGGGACAGCTTCAAAAACGAGAGGCAGCTGGACCGGCAAGAGGTCCAAGTCCCCGCCCGTCTTTTAGCCCGCAAAGAAGGCTCAGGGTGAAAAAGCGTTTTTCACGGTGTTCTTTTTGGGGCTCCCAGGTCTGTTTGGGAAGAGGTGCTTCTGCTTGCATGTGTCCAAGCACGCGAAGATTCGCATGTTAGCCTCACAGGACTCATGTCATCAGCTGGAAGCTAGGCATAGATGGTCGCCCCAACAAGTTAGGACCATGACTTGTCCCGCTTGTCATGGCAATCGGAAGCGAATACAGGATGCAGGCTGCTGACCTGAGCGTACACCTCCGCCGCCAAACGCAACCGCGAAGTCCTGCAAGGCAGCTATTGCAGGCATTCCACCCCACTAATAAGAATGGGCATGAAGAGTCTTGCTCCTTACTCCCTGACTACCTTAGCCCTCCAAAAGCACTGCAAACTTCTGCAGGGGACTCCTCAAGGCCCTCATCCCTCTCACGTTGGAAAATCTGCCCAGCACCTGGCTGAAGTTCAACTCACAGCAGTGTCTCCCAGGATGATTTACCGAACACAGGGGGAACAGCAGCAACAATGACAGCAGCAACAATGAATGCACAAACTGACGACTACAAAAAATCAGGAGCGAACTCAATTCTCCACACCCCGGGCTCTTGATGGCCTGGCGCTCCGTGTTCTCGGCGTGGTCTGAGCAGCTCCTAGCAGCGTAGTCCAAGTTTCAAGGCTGAGCAAGGCAGTAGGGTTTAGTTTGTTGGCTATCTGTATCACGACTCGTGTTTGTGTTCTCACTTTAGTGGTATATTGCCTTGCGACCAATACGGTCGCAGTGGCCGCTCTCGCTGTTGCTGCTTCTTGGGCTGTACCACTCAATCTCTGCCTCCCTTAAATTACAACTCTGAGATACTCTACTTTGCAACCACAACCACTGCCGCTGCCGCTACCACCACGACAACCACCACCACCACGACCACCACGACCAGCAGTAGCTGCAGCACCACCACCACCACCACCACCACCACTGCCACCACCAGCCCCATCACCTTGACCACCACTACTACCACCTTGACCATCACTATCATGGCTACCAGCATTATGTTTACAAGATGATGGTCTCTTGCACCTCCTCCTGCGCCAGGACCTCCGCCTCTTCAAGGCAGCGGTTCTGGATCTCGGAGCTGACTGACTCCTCGGGCTCCAGGTCCTGGCTGGCTGGCAGATGCTGCGGTCTCAACAGTGGGATCCTGATGTATACCCTCACGCAATGGATATCCACAGGGGAATACTCTGTAGCAAAGCTTGCCAGGTAGCTGGAGGTCCTCATCCTCCTCTGTGGTCTCGTTCAGCATGTTCGAGCTGAAGCTGTAAAGCGTTTCTCAGAAGAAGTATCTACACTGCATCGTCTGGGCCGGCTGGGATACCTTCAGGGTCTGGTTCAGGGAACTGGGTGAGTTCTCTTGTAAGATGGCTTGATTCAAACTGCCTTGATCCAGAAGCTGCGGACCACTACAGCATGATTTCAGCAGCGTTCAGAAGCAAGAAACAAGGCCATCTGTGCAGGGTCCCTAGTGTACCCCTGACAGGTGTCCTCTCTCACTCTACACGAGCCCTCTCCGCACTGGCCATGATCTCATTGCACATTCACAGACATCATCATCCTTCCCCTAGGGGCTGTGACCAAGTGACCGCGAAGCCATGCGGGGATGTGGCCCTCGACTCGCAAACCATCCACCTGACAATTTTTTACACCCTGTAACCACACAAGGGGACTGGCATTTGCGGACAGCAGAGCATTACATCAATTGCTTTCCCGAACCTCAAGCTCCTCCTCGGCTGATTGCAGCCAGTTCTTGAAGTCAATGCCCACCTGATACCTTAAGTCATGCCAAAACAGCAGAATGGCAACAGCATGGGCAAGCGACGGTCGCCAAACTTGCGGCCAGGACACGTGCCCTCCGGGCCGGCAGAAGGATCGATGCTGGTCACGAGCTTCTCGGTGACGGCGGACCTGAAGAAGCGAAAGACGAGGGGAGAGCTAGAAAGAGTTTGTTTTTGAAGCGTGAAGATTGAAGCGGTAAAGATTCTAAGATTGTGCTCTCTTGTCGTGTGCCTGCTGGTCTTCGGCTGGCGGGCAGCTTCGCCTCGCTCAGACAGGGCTCGGCGGCTGAGCCTCGGTGCCAAACCAAACAGACCACAAAAAGCTCTTAAGCAAGCAGTAAGCGAAAGCCTCTCCTTTGAGGCAGAGCAATGCGGAGCCCATGGGCTTCTGGGCCTCCGGACCGGTCCCGGCGGCCACGGGCACTGGCGGCCACCACGGCAGAAGCTGCGGCGCCCAGCGCTGGGGCCCAGACACCCGAGTTGGAGGTGCTGCCTGCGTGCGAGGAGCAAAGGAGAGGACCTGCAAGCCTCTCCCGTTTAGGCCTAGGCCCAGACTTGTGCAAAGGCCGACAAAGAAAAGCAACTTCGCATGCTGCTCAGTAGCGACTGGTGCAGGAGGTGCTGCGCAATAACACTGTAGGTCACTTAAGTGCGCGCGAGCCATTTTTGATGCAAATCCAATGCCCTTACTTCAGGGGCACAAGCACAACCTCTCAGAACTACACTTCAGCAAACAGAATCGACTGGCAAATGGCTTCATGGCTTGAAGCAACCATACAGTGTATCACACCTGACCAGTTTCTGCAGAAGTGCCGTTTTGAAGGTGGGACTTGCAAACTTGCAAACGCAAGCAATGCATTTGTACAGGGGCATGCTGTTTAGGCTCCTCACTCCAGTGCTTGCAAGGCACGCTTACTTTCCACAACCCATGTACCAGCAGAGGATTAAACAGCATTCCCTTCAAGGGAGCTGTGCGGATCTAGGACCTTTGACTAGTGCGCACTGTCACTGTGCTGCCCTTGAATTTGGGCGCGTCGGAGGGCTCGCTCCCCCCGGCGCAAGTGTCGCTTGAGGCTTGTAGTTGTCGGAAGCTGCTTTGATCGCAGCCTGCGCGCTCCAGTCGCACAGGACCTGGGAAACAAAACTGCTAGAGGAGCTTCTGAGGCAAGAAGGCCTAGAGGCTACGCCTCTTACTCAAATCATCTCTGGGGGCGGGCAAGACCCCAAGCCCTCAAGAGCGCGAAGCACATGGCGGAGTCACCAGGCTACTTTACTTGTACTTGCTACGGTATGGGATAGTATGGGGTGTATAAGCTTTTACTGTAGGAGGTGCGCAGCGCTGAGAATGCCGAGAAGCTAAAAAGCCAGAACTCAGCATGCAAATGCATTAAACTTGCATTACCCTTGCAAGCACACCTTGCATCGTCTTGTGTGTGCCCGACCCAGCAAGAAACAAAATGCAGAATAAGCTCAACCGCCAACATCGTACCGCCAGACTCAACAAAGTCATTGTGCTTGAAATCTTCGCAGGGCAGTTCTAGAGATTTGGCTCGCAGCGTGTCCACCAGAACCGCTTTACCCTTAGAAGACCTGTGGTCGCAGCTGGGGGCCGAGCCCAGATCAGCAATCCGCCCACCATGAAGCCAGCCCCGACCCTCTGCGCCGAGCTCTCCAGCTGCTGCAGGCCCTTCAGGGTCTCAGATGACTTCCGCTAACTCACCCTGTAGTGCAGAGGGATTGCGGCCACCAAATGCAAGCTGCGGGCATAGTTGCAAGCCCAACTGACCCCGCGTGGCCTCTTGTGGAGAAGTCGTGTTGTCCTGGCACAGATGAACGGAAGCATCACAAGCAGCTTGTGCATTCCAGCGTTCCATCCTTCTCGGGGATTTTGTCAAGGTGCCTGGCATGCAAGAACAATCACACACAAGAATTGTATAGCTTCCAGTGGTTCCAAACACGTCTGCCACCAGTACGATGACAATATGCTGCTATATGAAGCCAAGAGAGAGGATGCTGCTGCCAAGCTGCTCACGAGTCAAATCTGCAAACTTCTGCACAATCCTGTGTTGTCCGGACACAGGCTGTCACAACAGCAGAGAGCGAGGAAGTCCTGAGTGACTGCTCTTCAGTTTCGCCCATGACCTCGGGGGAGTGCAGCCACGAAAGTCTCAGCTATCAAGTTGCAAAAGCAGAAACAAGGATTACAGGCAGCGGCTTTCGTAGCTTTTCAACAAGTAAGGCTTCGACAGATTCTGCTTTTACCTTTCAGAATCCAAGGTCATGCAGTTCCTATAAACAGGCTCGGGTTCACCGTCCTGACATGCCAATAGCTTGCCTGTTCCTCCGTGATGCCGCGGTCAGACTTCAGCAGTTCGTCCAGCATCTGCACCAAACAGCACGGCTGCGTTTCCACGTGTCATCGCTAGGCTGCTATGCTGCCTCTGACTGGTCAATACTGCTGCTGGCTTTATCCACGAACATAAAAATGCCGCCCTTGGCGATGATGTCCTCAGAGAGGTGAGGCAGGCAGGAAACGATGAACTCGCTCTGCAATGCTCCGCAGGGCAGTCCAAGAAGCTGCCAGTGAGGGTTTCTGCCCAGATGCTGCCTGACAAGACAGGGTCCACAAAACGTGGAGTCGCTCAGCTCATCTTGGACAAGCCCGCCTCTTGCGTGAGTCTGAATCGGCGAGTAAGCTTGGCGTCGCACTTCACCGCAACTTTCTGGCCAGGTGGCAAGAGGGAGGACAACCTCCTTTGAGGTGGAACCCCCATTGACTACAGCACCAGCAACCAGACATCTCGACACCTGTTACGGTCCAAGATATATTTCCATGGTGAAAACTTTTGACAGGCAAGCGACGACGACGCCACTATCATCCTGGCCAGAGACAACTACTTCAGCAGCTGAAAAGGCATCAGTGAGTGTGACCCAGCTTGAAAAACTCATATCCTCCTCTCTCTCGATTTCCAGAACATATCGCCTCCTCTGTGTCCAATATATTTTCTGCATGAAGGCATAGCCAAAGTGCACTTGGACTATCGCCAACAACAGACCTGCATGCAAGGCTTGGCACAGCATTGCAATCCGATTTGCAAGTACCCCATTCTCACCAGACTCAGACTCTGCAAAAGTGGTGCTGCGGCCGCTCCGGCCTATCATGTATAGATTAGGGCTGGTGAAGGGCGCGATTCCTTGCTGCAACGCCGGAATGCATTGAAACAAGTAACAACCTCAATAGGAAACTCTTGACGATGCTGTCATCTCGAAAACAGTCCAAGGCTCCCATAAACGCAGAACCCACACCACCAGCCATCAGCAGAGAGGAGTGTCTGATAGCCTTCTGAGCGTCGTCGGATTGCTTTTCTGGGGGCCTCAGGCTGGTCCATGCTGAAAGCAGGAGCCGGGTGCAAAAAAAAAAATAGTCCTCCTACCGTGGACATGAAAAGATATCCAGAAGGATTTTGCCTTGAGGTGCTTGATGACAAAAGCCATAGATTGGGCAGAGGAAGGCATAGATTCAGAGAAAGGGATATTGTAACCACATTAGGGCGTCGCCATGCAAAAGACCTTACACGTTGTCCAAGGAGCTTCGCTTCGAAGAGTTTTACCGGGCCAGCAGGCCGAGGAGCCTCCTCCCCCGAGCAGAAGGACCTGAAAACTGGTCAGAAATATGAGCATATATCTCTATATGTATATGTATATATGTTTATATACATATGTATATATGTATATATATATGTATATACAGGTATATACGTATGTACACATACATAGATGGCATAAATGCATGTCTATACGTATGTGTATTATATACATTTTCATACACTTGGATTTTTGACGATTTAGCAGCATGTCTCTACATGCCTTTCTTTCCGGTCTTCGAGAAAAATGGAAAAATATGTTAAAAATGAAGCCCGGCAGATGGTGCCTCGCATGCAGGACACTTCCTCGGGTGCAGCGTGGAAAAGTCGCGGGCTTCATATGCCTGACACCTTCCCCTGACATCTCGAACCAAGAGGCTAAGCTCCTTGGCCCTATGGCCAATGCGGTATGCTGCACGAACCTGAAAAAGCATGCAAAGATAGGAGCTCGTGGATGCACCATGCTATGCATGGCTTCAATTAAACGGCCCCCGTGTAAAGCCAACAAACCATGCCAACGTCAGCAAGGCACGTGTTGCAACTGCAACATGGCGACAGTGACGTCGGCAGCTTGAGCCGGAAGGGTCTGCAGGCCGAGATGCCACTCAGCAAGTGTTCAATCCGCGTGCGTTTCGGTTCACAAGAAAATGTGGGACCCTATGACCCAAATACACGGAAATCGCAAAGCAAGATGCATCGCATGCCTGGAGACTGCCAGAAAAACCACGAAACCCAAAGACCCTGCGGTGGAGCGTGCCCTGCCGCTGGCCATTTGCATGCCTTCGCACTTCCTGCCATTTCAAGAAGCAGCTTGCATACAAGACCTCTTTTTGAACCACTCCAACTGTGCAATCTGCACCTGTGAGAGGACCGGGGCCGTCACAAATGCCTCCTGCAGAGCTTCAAGGTCCGCACAAGCCACGCACGGACCAAGCAGGTCAGAATTCGATAAACAGAATTCCTGGCCTGAGCGGGCCAAAGAGACACCGCTCCTGTCGCTCCTGAGCTCCTCGCAAGCAAAGCAAACAAATCAAGCTCGGGTGTAAGGGCAACGCCGCAGCCGCTCTTGTCTGCATCACCACTCAACATATCTCAACATAATATGCCGTGCTTCCTTTCAACTTGCAAATGTAATCACCTACAGGGAATCGTTGATGAGTCCCTACACCCTGAATTGCATTGGACTGCGCGCTCCTTGCCGTCTCCATGACGCTTAGCCACTTGCCCCGATGGAGTTTTTGGAATGAGTCTATGGCTGAAGAGCCAACATAAAGTCCGCACAACACAAATTCAGCTTCAGAATACGTTCTGGCTGCCCAACGGCACGCCACAGAGCTGAAGGTCGCTGAGGCGTCCTTCTGTTTTGCCATCGCAAGTCTCTCAACCGATCGATGCCCAGACCTTCTGAAATCTAAGATTTCAAAGAGCTAGGGGGCAAGTGTCTGTCACTGCCGGCTTACATCTCCTCATGGGGCTAGTGCAAGGTTCAGTCGCTTAATCCGCGAGTCCCAGAGTCTCACTTTGGTACTCAGAAGGTTTGTGCAAGCAACCTGCATGGCCAACCTTGGCAGCCATGCAGGCAGGCACCGCAATCAACTGCTATGCACAAGAAGCCACGAGGTCTTGAGGGCCTTTACACAGAAGCAGCGTGGCCGTTTTGCTATGCCTGATGGCTGTACCCACATAAACGTTCAAACTCCTTTCTAAATCCTCTCTTGCAAAAACCGTTCCGGGGCACAAGATTTTCTCGGGTACTGACGAGTCTCTATCTATATTTTCTTTCCAGCCAAACGTAGCTTCGGTGGGAAGGCCTCGGGCTCTATTGGCCGCCTGCCAGCGCCGCCGCCAACGTGCGATAGACCGCGAGAGCATGTCGAAGCTCCAGAGACTCAGGGAAGCAGTCCGGAGGTGGCTCGCCTTAGGACAGACTAGTTAGTCTAGTTGCTGCAACCATGCTTTGCATCCTACATCTTTGTGGCCTTCATTTTATTGTGTAGTGTCAAGCTAAACCGTCTCTTGCTATCTGAGCATCATGGCTACGCAAGGATGCTTCAAACTGGAAACTGGACTCAGGTTCGCACCCGCAGCGAATTCCAGAAACTCCTTGAGCGAGGCGCCTTCTCAAAGATGCTAGCGAGCCGTTCACATTCTTCTGGTGTAGGGATCAGAAATGTTCGGGACAGAGCAAATATTGCTACGCACTCGACATTTGGAGGGGCACAGCTCTCAGTCCACCTGCCTGCCGGCCACCGGTCAACAATCAGCCTGGGCAAAGAGGACACCATGTCCGACTGACAGGAATGTAATTACCAGTGCCCTACAAGTTATCCTATTCTGACGCACTCTTTTTGCAAAAACAAGCTTAATCCAACTCAGCATTACATTTCCTCCGAGAGGCTGCTCAGCAAGCAGATCATGCAGCACCTAGGTAGTGGTACTCATGTCGACTCAAATGGCATGGGTCGGCTCTCTTGACAAGATGCTTCACCGTGGGCTTCACACACTCTTGAAGTTCAGACATGCCCAAAGCAGAATCTCTGAGTCAGAGATGGCACTGGCCGCCACTCCGCAAGCTCTGCCGCTGCAGCTGCCAGTGCAGTTGCTGATTCTGGCTCCAGCGCATCCTCTCGTCGGGGATCTGCGACTCAAGGCTCACATGCTGAGGATGTAACTTGTGAAATTGGAGGTTGGAAGCAAAAACCAGCGGTCCTGGTACGCAAGGGCAACTGCAGCCAAGGAGTCACCAGCATGGTTGGAGGAAACGAGCTCCATATACCTGTTTATAAGGCTTATAGCTGCTTCCAGGTCAGCTTTGAAGATCTGAGGGATGGGCAGGTCTTGCAAATGACACAGCTGTGCCCGGCTGCGAAGTGCCTGGAGGAGCTGGCTTTGCTCGGCTTTGGCTTTGGCCCTGAAGAAGACCTATGGTTCTATGGCCTGGGGCAGCTTCGCGCCCTCTGCTGACGCATCAACCAACTCAGCAAGGGGCGTCTCTACGTGCACCTTAGCTGAAAAGCCAACTTGGCATACAAGTGCTTAAGTCTCACAGAATTTCACAGCCAGGCACTGCGGCGCGGCCAGCTTTGCCAAAAGAACCCAGCGAAAGGCCTGTGTTGCAAACGAAGCAGGATGATGCAACAGGCAGGAAAGCTCCGGCAAGCCAGCATGCAAACAAAGTGTAAAGCCAGGTCAAGTGGCAGAGATTGATGACGTCTTCAATCAGAGCGCGAAGCTGCAGCGTGGCCTGGCAAGGTAAACACGTTGTACGGGGTGGAATAACATGAAGGCTGCCCCTCGGCGCCGAAACTATCCGCGGGACCTCGTCTGCGTCTCCGCGTCTCTCCAGCTCGCGCCGGAGCTCCTTCCAGGCTGCGCGATCTGCGCGCAGATGCTTCTGAAAACGATCATGTACTCTACCCTCGGTCATCCCACTCTCCTCCAGCATTCCGAAAGGCAAGGGCTGCTGCGGAAGGCGTTGACGAAGCACTGCCAAACGGCCCGAGTCCTACAGTTGGCTTCTTTGGAAACGGACCCTTTCTTGTCCGGGCTTGCGCAGGTCAACCCAAATTGCACACCGCTCACAACTGTTGTTTTCGACATGTGCGAAAGCGTAGTCCCATCCAAATGCAGGCGCAACTGCTGTTGGTGCACCTAGTCCTAACTAGCTAACTCGAACAAACTCTGAGCTCGTTCCAGTGACCGCGGCCAAGTACCGGCTGTCATAAGCCCCGTGGCATTGACTAAAGCTATGGCGTGTCGCTCACACCACAACGGCAGCTGGCTCATCCGTGGCTGGTTCAGCCCTTGTGGGAAATGACATGTTGGAGCTTGAAGGCTTTGGCTGCTCAGGTGGCTGCGTGCAGTCGCAGGGGGTGCCAATACTGCAGCAGAAGGCATAGGACTCCGGTTTGCACTGGCCAGAAGATGTGGTGCCCTTCTTGCAGTCACACGGTGTGCCCAGCTCGCAGCAATAGCTATAAGATACTGTCTTGCACTGATTTGCCTCGACTAGCTCAGAGGGCAGCAGAAGGAAAAGGGCAGCCAAGTACATCAACCCCTTCGCGGCAGCCATGGCAGCTCTGAAACACGGGATGATATGATCCCAAACTTGAGCCTCATTGACAGTGTCAACATACCTGAAGCCTCAACTTCTGTTTGGTGCTGTTTTTTTGGATCATAACAAGTCAAAAGAAAAAAAGGCAAAGCAAAGATTTGCCCAAAGGGCCATCCTTGAGCTCGCCGCCAAACCGATAGTGACGAAGCTGCACCTGTCGGATGGCCAGGAGTGATTAAGGGCGTTCCTGGCATGAGCATGGCGCCTGAATGCGCACAGCTCCTCGGAAGTGCTGTGCCAGAGCTTCCTCAAGCTGATCCTGAGGCAGTTCAGATCTCTAGGCGCTGCACATGACATCAGATTCACTTCTACAAAGATGTCCAAGTTTCCAAATCGTACTCCAACGATCCGCCGCATGCTTCCGTTTCTTTCCGGCTCTGGTGCAGCATCGGCAAGAGGTCAGAGCGGAGGTCCTTGAATGCGAGCAGCTAAGATCCTGGACCTCTTTCAAGTCTGGCATGCTAAGGCTAGACGATGAATTGCTGGACATAGCCAAACATTGAAACATTTGATTCTCGACTAAGCATGCATCAGCCGCATCTATCCGCTGCTCTGACTCCCCAATCCTTACAAAAAAACCTTTGACATAGGGCCTTGCACTACACTGGGCCCAGGAGCAAGCGATGCCAACAGCGAGGCCACAACTTTGGGCTCCGTTGCTGCGCTGACCTGGGACCAATGCAAACTACCCACTTCCAATGGTGGCCTAAAGCTGGGCAAACGATGGGCGTGTCCTATGTAAGCTATGGCGTCTTCTGCTCACAGGAACCCGGCATGCATTGCTTCATCAGTAGATGCAGATGAGTAAAATGTTTCTCACTTATGAGAAGCCTCCAGCGGGTTCCAGAGTTGCCGGAGAGTTTGCAATTGCAGGAACCACTCGGGATGACTACTGAGAACGAGGAGCACAAGTGCAGTATGAGGGAGATGAGAAACAGCAAGACATGGATGAGTATTCCAGCATTGGGACCTCGCTCAGCACCATTGCATGACACGCAATGGGAGAGAGATCTGTGCACTCTTGGATATACGGATCCGGAGATATACGGTGAGACGAACGCGCAGACGCAAAGAAGCTCTTGCATGGCGACTTGCAGGATCTCAGCCCTGTACGGAAAGCGCTGGAGCATCTGCGGCGTGAGCACCTAGAGCTGCCTCCACAGCCTCTCGAGTTAAGTCTGGTTTGTCTTCCAACACTGTCCAGTCTGGCTTATGAGTTCGGTGGACCTAAAAAGTAATTAGCAGTGAAACTAAACCAATGTTCTCTTGCCATCTGAGGTCGCTGGGTACACAGCTGGGAACCTTGTCTCAGAAGGTGGGCCCTGGTACCATAAGCCTTGCTACAGCAAATGGAAATCGATGCCCAGAAGGGCCCCTACCCCACCAGTCCTCGACCAAGTCATTCTGTGCCGTTTGCAGCACGTTGGCAAGCTGCACGGTGCATAGGGTAGGTGCCTGCAGCACTGCGGGAATAGCTAGACACGCTCCCAGTGTAGTCCCTGAGCTACACACCTCTGTCTCGCCGGATGGAGCCACGTAGGGCAGAGAGAAGATAACCGGCGTATCAGGCGTCCTGAGCACCCATAGCATGCACAAAGCCCAAAACATCTCCTGCCCAGCACGAATGGATTTTCAGCCGCGTGGCATGGGTCCCGGCAGGTGAACTTTGCCCTGCTGCAGAAAGGGATTTGCCTCGCACTCGAAAAGGCCTTGGGATCCAAGGTGTCAGACAGAAGCTTACGCAATTTCAGCCTTGATCTTCTCCTTTTTTGCGTCAGGAAACGATCCACGAGAGGAAAAGCCTCGTTGAAGCGGCGGCAGAACTCGCCCAGAACCTGTGTGGCGGAGACCCGGCGGTGCTCAGGAAGCCTCGCTGAGAAGTGACAGCATGAACTAAAATCAGCTGTGGGCTTAAGCAAGGGTAGAACAGATACAGTAGCAGGCAGTGGGCCACGCCTCATAATGGCTTCCGAATTCGTCAGCTGTCGGGCTTCCTCGCCTCAAAGCAAACTCTTACCACCAGTCGAGAAAGTGAAGTGCCACGGCTTTCAGGCACCCCGAGGCGACTGCGCAGGAGCCCATAGTCTTCAAAGGCCTCCAAGACTCAAAACACCTCCCATGCCTCTTTCTCTCGCATTGCCTCTGCAACATTTCCCGACCGTCCTCGAAAAGGATTGCATGCCAGGCGAGCACCGCTGGAAGCGCCGTCAATGCAGCGAGGCGCCTGGCCAAGGAGATGAGTTGAAACAAATATTCCAAACGCAAGCCGAGTACAATGAGAGCCAACATGATACCCTTTTATGATCAGAGCCTTGCCCTCCCAGCAACAAGGCTTTAGAGTGCCGACAGTTCAGAGGTCCAGATTTTGGGAGGTTTGCCTTCGCTTTTTTCGTAGAGACAGGGCTGTGTAGGGAGCACCTGGGGCTATGTTGAGTTGAACAAGGACAGCATTTAGGCATCGTCGAATAATGGATGTTGGTGAAGCTTTACAAAGACATGCGTGCAATCTGGTCGAATCTGCAGAGGAGCACCTCTGCTCTTTCAGTGTTACTGTCAGCACTGGTCGGCCGTCAGCATTCTCCTTGCCTTGGCATTTTCCCGCTCCAAGACACGCAGCGCAGACAAGCAACGAAGAGCCGCACTCAGGCTGACATTTTGGCAAACTCACCAGGTCTTGTAAGGCTGCAGCACGAAAGGAAGCTAGTTTCAAACTCGGCCAGACCAGCAGGTTGCCGGCCGTGCCACAGGATGCATGGCAAGGCCGTTTCCTTGAGAATCAAACTCTTGCATGTGCTTTGCATGTGCTCCGTCTGCAGGCGTGGGGCCAAAATACATGCCAAGCTTCCACTTTTTTGTAGATATCTTTGTCCCAGTTGTCCTTAACTGCACCAAGGAGCATTGGCCAAAGCAAGAAGAAACCCGCCGTCTAAACAAGTCGAGGTGCGCATAGCTCCCGCCAAGCTTTCTCTCCAAAGGCCATGCAAGCCGCAGCTGTGTAGTCAGCACCCACATCCATTCGTTTGCGCTCCTACAGGAAAGGGCACAAGCCTTGATTTGCGCCGCGGCTTTGGCTGAGGGCACTCGGTTGGACCCTCCTTGATGCAACACCCTCGCTTACTGCCTGCCATACACTACGCCTTCATTAATCCATGGGAAGCAAAATGCTTCAAGGCTTCTAACGACATGTCTAGTTCTTCCGAGCAGGACTTGAAGCGCCTCCTGCTGCGTCGCACATGCAGCAAAAGCCTGCTCGGAAGCCACCTGGCCAGAGTGGTACCAAATGCTAGCAGCAAAACATCCTACTTACAGACTTTGTAATTCGTTAGGACCTGTTGGCACGTACCCTTCAAAGCTTGCTGCCAGCCCTGGCAGCAACCCAACCTGAAACGAGTACTCGAAATTTGCACGCTCCGTCTCATCGGAGAGTTGTCCTTACATCAATTTCAAAGGTTCGGAGAATACCTCCCCCATCGCATGGTTTTGGAGATTCCTGGGCTCTTTAGCTCCCCTTATTATATTGATTTAGACCATCAATAGCTCCTTAGCTCCCCCTAAAAATATGGGTAGATACTGTGCAGCGACTGCAAGTAAACTTTAAACCAGCAAGGGTGATGGGGCTTCTGCGGGTCCATTTTCTTTTTGGCAAGAGGCGAGCCATCGCTGTGCACCGCGCAAGCGTCAGATGTAGCCAGGCACCCAGTCTTAGCTTTCGAAATTCAAAGCAGCAGCGGAGCTGGTCTAAAATCAGAGGGCCGCCTGACGACCATGCAAGAAAATTTGATCCCCCCAAACGTAGCCTGAGACCTTTATCTCTAGCTTCTGGGCTTTCCGCTCACGTGGAGGCAGCTTGGTACGATCCATCAAAGACTTCCAGTCCTGGCAGTAAATATGTGATGTCGACCATCTGACTCTAAGTCCACAACACACCAAAAGAACCCTACAACGAGTCCTGACAAATCAGCTCGTAGAGGTTCTTCGCAGCGTCCCTTGGATTGCGCGGCTCCCTCCCGCCCCGAGGTCCGCTTTAAAACTCAATTCCTGGGTTCACTTTGAAGAAGTTTGTAAGTAGCGCTCTCTATCTGCTTGAAACAAGGCTGCGTCGCTAGCACGTCTGCGCTGGCTGTAACTCAGGGGCTCCACGGCTGCTTTAGGATTACTGACTTGGGCCCTTCTCTTGAGTGTCATAAGACTGCACAGCATCCTTCCAGCGAGAAAAAATCTGGGGGCACTCAGGATACCCAAATGTTGAGGACCCGCAGCATTACACTGCGGATTCTGCAGCCCAAGGTGCTGAACACTCGCGGCCCTGCCTGGAAGAACGACGCCTGCCA